ATACCAGCATAATTATTAGCAAATTATATCTTACCATGATGCTCCAGATATGCCTGTTAAGTCACTTTTTCATTGGTAGTTAAATAGGTTGGATGGGCTTAACCTGCAAAAGATATCATCGACACATAAGGAGACTGATGCTAGACTGTAGAATGAATAATGCACATTGTGATTGACAAAACTTTGGAAACTGTGCATTTCTGAATTACAGTTAAAATGTATTTGTATCATTTGCAGAAATGTATGCTACCTGAACCTTTTCAAGTGGGATATGGGAAAGCATACTCCCACTGATGTTCCAGTCATACCTGGCTAGTAATTGAACTGTCATTATCTCCCCTGATGCTCCATACACACCTAGTAATAAATAAATTGTCATAAGCCCCCCTGATGATCTAGTCCCATCTGGCCTCTAATAACTTCTCTATATGAGGCATACATTGGGATGAGACGTACTTATCAATTTTGTGATGTTACAGGATGAGATATGGCCTCCGGACATACCAGATGGAGATCTACAAAGAGATGCATACTTTACCTTCCCATCACTTCCTCAATGGATTTTCCCTTGCTTTCTCAGGTAATATTATCGTCAGTGATTAAAACATTTCTGTTTTAGTTAAAATAAAATTCAGTTCGATTGAATAAAATATAGAGTTGAAAGCCAATGCGTACACTTCCTGAGCAAACAGGTGAAGTTGATATGGTTCAGATTTGCAGACAACATCATTACATTTGCAGAAAACTACAGGAGACCTCCCAAGTTGTATTAATGTGGAAGACTGGAATTGTCCTCCGTCAAGGCCCTGTCATGGTCCTAGTTGAACTTCTTATGAATGAAATAAATCAAGGTAAATGAAATCAGTATGTAATTTGCATGTTAAGTAGAATATGAATAGAATATACTTACACAATGTGATAGACACAGATGAACTATAGTAGAAATACTGACACATTATACAAGTGTTGTCAGCCTCTAGTTATGTCATATCTGGTCAAAGGCATTCAAAATCAAGGTATGTTTTAAAGGGTCATTAAGGAAAAATACCTTATAATCATTTCTGTTGTATATTACATTAGATCCATAGATATATTTCAGAATTTTGAAATGTTGATAGCAGGTTGATAAAAATTAAGTGATTCTAGCATTTTCACGATTTAAGCTGGTCTTGATTTAGCAAATACCAAGTTGACCTGACAAAAGCAGGTGAGACAGCATCTCAGATTATGTTTTAATGAAAGGATAAAAATCAATGTTGCTTTAACACTTTGTTTACAAGCCATAATGAGAAGACAATATTTCATTTACAGATTTGCTAGTGATTGTGATCTGTGCCAGAGTTCAGACCTCTGCCATGGCGTATACCCTTTACGTGACCTTCACCAACATTAAGACAATCCTTTCAGGACTATTGAACTCCAGAAACGTGTTTGCTATGGTATGTCTAAAAATATCTTTGAAATAGAAGTAAAAGCACACATCTAACTTACAACAACAAAATCTGTGTCACAAATTTAACATCACAGTAGAAAATTTGCTCTGTCAGAGTTTAAGAATAAAAAGTAGAAACAATTTGACTTAAGTCTAAACCTTGGCCCTGATTTTGGAATTCTAATTACCTGATAATTTATTTATTTATATTTTCTAATTATAAAAGGGAAATATGGATTAGAAATAATTTTATGGTGTCATGGTCATGGAAATATCGTTTTGTTATTTGGCCTATTTTTGTTTTTTTAATTTTGCTTTTTAATGGATACAAATAGAGAATTGTAACTTCGGAAGTAGAGTGGTAATTTGCATGCCAAGTTCTGATTTGGTTACAGTCAATCCATTTTCAAGAGTTTTGGCCATTTATCTTATAGAGAATTTTAATCACAATTTTCACCAAAATGATCCGAACCAATTGGAGAATGATAATTTAGCCTGTCCAAACCTGAGTAGGAATTTAAAAAAAAAATGTATGGAAAAAAAAAGTTTTATTTTATGAGTCATGAGTATATCATTTATCAAAGCTAATTTACTGAAAGAATCTGAACTTTATGGGTAGGAGAAGGGGTTGGGGTTAAGAGCAGGGGTGGGGGAGGGTAGCAGGGGTGGGGGAGGGGATGGGGGTATTCCTGTCACTCCAACAAACTAAGTAGGTAATGGAAGCTACTGGTACATGTATACCATGTTGATTTACTGGTTGTGTGATTGTGTTTTTTGTAGAAAACTATTTGTTGCAAGACCTGTAACCCAACCAGGAACAGAAAACATGCCACAAGTGCTGAAAACAACTGTTGTCATGTGACAGAAATGAATTTCAAGCATTTGTCAAAAAGAGATGTAGTTCTGTGCAAGAAGAATGGTGGTCAGATTTTTATGAAAAGAGAGGAATTTATTGGTCCAGGTATATAGAACGTATATATGTATCTATGGAATTCTCTCTAATGTTGTATAGTACAACAATATCTGGTGCAACACTGTTTCTTCATGATTCTTGAAAACAGTAATATATGTTTTCCAAAACTTGCTGCTATTTTTTAGAATTTGAGACATCCACAATATTGTTGTGTATCATTTTTCATTAGTATTTAATTGAAATCTCTCTTTATATGGGACAATTGATTCAAATTTTACGTTTTTTTGTCTTGAACAGATTTCAAACCATTTGACATTGTCCCGAACCATACTGATACAAAAATGGTTGTAACAGCTACCAGCAGTGAAAATATGGACAGGTCCTTACGCTGCCATCTTTGTAACAACTGTGGACAGAACGGGATAGGTTGCCATGGCAACTTGGTACCTGGCATAACAACAAGGTAAGTAGCGTAAAATGTATAACTGAAGGCTTCTCAGCCTCAGTGTTATAGTCCTGATGAAGATCGCATGATGGTCGAAAAATTTCAACCACATCTAGATCACAATAAAGTAGGTAATTGTCCTTAGATGTTGAGAAGCTTTCATTTCTACATTGTATGTTCACCACGGAGGAAGGAACTCTGTTGAATACTGTAAGGTATCCCCATTTCTGCATTGTATGTTCACCACGGAGGAAGGAACTCTGTTGAATACTGTAAGGTATCCCCATTTCTGCATTGTATGTTCACCACGGAGGAAGGAACTCTGTTGAATACTGTAAGGTATCCCCATTTCTGCATTGTATGTTCACCACGGAGGAAGGAACTCTGTTGAATACTGTAAGGTATCCCCATTTCTACATTGTATGTTCACCACGGAGGAAGGAACTCTGTTGAATACTGTAAGGTATCCCCATTTCTACATTGTATGTTCATGACGGAGGAAGGAACTCTGTTGAATAATACTGTAAGGTATCCCCATTTCTACATTGTATGTTCACGACGGAGGAAGGAACTATGTTGAATACTGTAAGGTATCCCCATTTCTACATTGTATGTTCACCACGGAGGAAGGAACTCTGTTGAATACTATAAGGTATCCCCATTTCTGCATTGTATGTTCACCACGGAGGAAGGAACTCTGTTGAATACTGTAAGGTATCCCCATTTCTACATTGTATGTTCATGACGGAGGAAGGAACTCTGTTGAATAATACTGTAAGGTATCCCCATTTCTACATTGTATGTTCACGACGGAGGAAGGAACTATGTTGAATACTGTAAGGTATCCCCATTTCTACATTGTATGTTCACGACGGAGGAAGTAACTATGTTGAATAATACTGTAAGGTGTCCCCATTTCTACATTGTATGTTCACGACGGAGGAAGGAACTATGTTGAATACTGTAAGGTATCCATCCAAGAAGATACTGCTATTTAAAATTTATACCCTGGATTGGGAGACTGGCGGCATATTTTTTTGTGCTATCTATTTTTCTGTTGTCAACATTAACCTTGCCCATAACTATTGCATGGTATGAGATAGTGCTTTCATATTTGGCATGCATGTTCTTTTTGTTGGTGGTACCAAAAAGTTTTGATCATGTGACCTTGACCATGACCTTTGACCTATCTTAAAAAGTGAAAAAAAAAAATCATCACCACCATGAAGATATCAGTGTTTCAAACACATGTGTGCATTCAATTAGCACATGCCTTACACTGTACTTGCCTTTCAACTAACTGTCTGGGGTTTAATTCCCAGAACAGACATGAAAAGGTATGGGGTCTCCTACCCGACCATGCAGGCTTTCCCCGAATACTCTGGTTTCTTCCCAGAATAACACCCCTTGCCTGCTTACATCCAAGCCAACAAAAGTAATTAGTATAAGTTGAAATAACAATTGTTGTAAAATAAATAAAGTTTATATCTACTTCATATTTACAAAACGTTTTTGATATATGTATCAATCACTTAGATGAAATAACAACAGCAAGCAGAAAAACTTTTTAATTGGAAATGAAGATAGTTTCTGATTTCTTTTACAGGCATTGTAGCTGTCAGCATGAGTTAAAATTGTGCTCTTACTGTGGGGTGTGTGGTCACTGTACACAGGTCCTATCGGTGAGATGATATTACTATCACACACACAGAAGTTCAGTGGACATATTCATGTCTAGGTTGTAGTTGCACAAAAAATCTTTATTCCTAGAATGTTTGAGATTCTTGTATACAAATTGTGAATTTATCGTTCATGAAATATAACTCTATTTGAAGGAAGTTGTAATAAATAAAAAAGAATATGTTTTCTCTGTAAATACATACTGTAAAACCTGTATTTTTGTAGGACACAAGTTTTGTTTCTTATTTTTAAATTTCATTAGCATTTGATTTTGCTGTTGAATAATATTAAAAAGACCATTAATATCAAACATTCGTCTCAGATTTTTAAGGGTTCCCTGATTCACGGACATATGAATGCATGGATTTAGAGCACCTGCAAAATCATTGAAAATGAATCCCTCCCAATAATTAATGACTTACAGTACTATTTGTTATTTTGTTTTCTTTTTGATGTAGGAAGCCTATGCTATGGTGCATCCCAGCTTCCGTCTCAAAACATCGGATAAAACAAGGTGTATTGGGAGTATTATGACAGAAACCGAGTTTGGAACTTCTCATAACTATACGTTCCCAGATAACCTGTCACTGACCTATTTTAATCATCTCAGTATGTACATGCTGACCACGACTTGTGACTTCCACATCAGTGTCAACAGGTAACATATCTACTGAGCAATAAGCCCATGTCTGGTAATAATCTCATGGCTGGTAATAGGTTCATATCTGGTTATAAGCGCTAATGTCTGATAATAAGTTCTAATGTCTGGTAATAAGCTCTTATGTCTGGTCATAAGCTCTAATATTTGGTAATAAGCTCTGATGTCTGGTTAATGACTGGTAATAAGCTCTAATGTCTGGTAATAAGCTCTAATGTCTGGTAATAAGTTCTGATGTCTGGTAATAAGCTCTGATTCTGGTATTAAACTCTTATGTCTGGTAATAAGCTCAAATGTCTGGTAATAAGCTCTGATGTCTAGTAATCAGCTCTAATGTCTGGTAATAAGCTCTTATGTCTGGTCATAAGCTCTAATATCTGGTAATATGCTCTGATGTCTGGGTAATGTCTGGTGATAAGCTCTAATGTCTGGTAATAAGTTCTGATGTCTGGTAGTAAGCTCTGATGTCTGGTATTAAACTCTTATGTCTGGTAATAAGCTCAAATGTCTGGTAATAAGCTCTGATGTCTAGTAATCAGCTCTAATGTCTGGTATTAAACTCTTATGTCTGGTAATAAGCTCAAATGTCTGGTAATAAGCTCTGATGTCTTGTAATCAGCTCTAATGTCTGGTAATAAGCTCTTATGTCTGGTCATAAGCTCTAATATCTGGTAATATGCTCTGATGTCTGGGTAATGTCTGGTGATAAGCTCTAATGTCTGGTAATAAGTTCTGATGTCTGGTAGTAAGCTCTGATGTCTGGTATTAAACTCTTATGTATGGTAATAAGCTCTTATGTCTGGTATCAAGCTCTTATGTCTGGTAATAAGCTCTTATGTCTAGTAATCAGCTCTAATGTCTGGTAATAAGCTCTTATGTCTGGTCATAAGCTCTAATATCTGGTAATATGCTCTGATGTCTGGGTAATGTCTGGTGATAAGCTCTAATGTCTGGTAATAAGTTCTGATGTCTGGTAGTAAGCTCTGATGTTTGGTATTAAACTCTTATGTATGGTAATAAGCTCTTATGTCTGGTATCAAGCTCTTATGTCTGGTAATAAGCTCTTATGTCTAGTAATCAGCTCTAATGTCTGGTAATAAGCTCTTATGTCTGGTCATAAGCTCTAATATCTGGTAATATGCTCTGATGTCTGGGTAATGTCTGGTGATAAGCTCTGATGTCTGGTAATAAGTTCTGATGTCTGGTAATAAGCTCTGATTCTGGTATTAAACTCTTATGTCTGGTAATAAGCTCAAATGTCTGGTAATAAGCTCTGATGTCTAGTAATCAGCTCTAATGTCTGGTAATAAGCTCTTATGTCTGGTCATAAGCTCTAATATCTGGTAATATGCTCTGATGTCTGGGTAATGTCTGGTGATAAGCTCTAATGTCTGGTAATAAGTTCTGATGTCTGGTAGTAAGCTCTGATGTCTGGTATTAAACTCTTATGTATGGTAATAAGCTCTTATGTCTGGTATCAAGCTCTTATGTCTGGTAATAAGCTCTTATGTCTAGTAATCAGCTCTAATGTCTGGTAATAAGCTCTTATGTCTGGTCATAAGCTCTAATATCTGGTAATATGCTCTGATGTCTGGGTAATGTCTGGTGATAAGCTCTAATGTCTGGTAATAAGTTCTGATGTCTGGTAGTAAGCTCTGATGTCTGGTATTAAACTCTTATGTATGGTAATAAGCTCTTATGTCTGGTATCAAGCTCTAATGTCTGGTAATAAGCCAGTGTCTGGAAGTAAGCTCTGATGTTTAGTAATAAACCCATGTCTTGTAGTAAACTCTAATGACTGGTAATAATTTTTAAGCTCTAATGTCTGATAATAAGACCATGTCTAGTAAATTAACTTTATTGTCTTGTAATATAATTTCAAGTGTTAGGGCAACCAAACATGGGTCTGTCATGTAAATTTCAGACCTATAGGCAGATTAAATGATCTTGTGAAATTTTACAGTTGTGTTTGATTTTGGAACAAAAAATCCCAACATTTCTGAGATTTGAGAAATGATTAATATGAAATCATTTGAATTTGGTTTGTGGTTATTGGAAGAATAAAAATAGTAGGCACAGTTTTTTATAAGTATTATCAAGGAACAGAGAAAGGTGAGACATGTAATTACAGGTAATTCACACTTTGTAGTGTTCGCCTGTAATTAGTGTACCATGATTTCATTCTGTCATAGTGCTGGAATGTCAGTGGATTATAAGACAGCTATGGGAACAATAACAGTCAACGGTCAACAGAAGGCACAGGAGGTCAGGTGTAAACAAGGAGATCATCTGGAACTCAAAATATTACCTCAGATGGTAAAAATTCATCGTCATTTGGATATTCATATACATACATCCTGAAATTTCATTTTCTTAAATTGTTGAACTAAGTAAAATTATTTAAGTTTTAAATCATGTTAAAATTATATTTCACCTTTATTTAAGGCTGTGGAAGAAGAAGACAAATATTGCTTTCAAAATTTTCAATTGACCATGACCCTGAGGTTATTTATGTGTTGGTATATGGTTGAATTTGAGCTCCATCACATTCATCTTTTCTCACAACTTTAATGTAAAGCATTTCATACTTTCTATTCATTTGTGAATTTTGAAAGTTCTGTTTAAAAAAACTTCCATTATTGTTCTATGCATTCTATCAGCTGAAGGGTACCCAGAGGGAAATCTTGGAGGTCAGGAAAAATGAGGTGACCTTGGTATCAACCCGTCTTATGGACAAGTCAGTGAAGGTCAAATGTACACATCGTCCATCCAGCAAGATGTTGGTCTTTACACACAAGCTGATGGTAATGAGAATTTTTTGTAAATGTACAAGATTTTCTCTAAACTCTAAATAACATGACCACTCTACTACCTTGTTAAACCTTAATAAGAGACCACAGAGACAAATACTCTGTAACCCTTAACATCAGACCACAAATACACTGTAGCCCTCAACAACAGACCACAAATACACTGTACCCCTCAACAACAGACCACAAATACACTGTAACCCTCAACAACAGACCACAAATACACTGTAGCCCTCAACATCAGACCACAAATACACTGTAGCCCTCAACAACAGACCACAAATACACTGTAGCCCTCAACAACAGACCACAAATACACTGTAGCCCTTAACAACAGACCACAAATACACTGTAACCCTTACACATCAGACCACAAATACACTGTAGCCCTACACTGTAACAACAGACCACAAATACACTGTAGCCCTCAACAACAGACCACAAATACACTGTAACCCTCAACAACAGACCACAAATACACTGTAGCCCTCAACATCAGACCACAAATACACTGTAGCCCTCAACAACAGACCACAAATACACTGTAGCCCTCAACAACAGACCACAAATACACTGTAGCCCTTAACAACAGACCACAAATACACTGTTGTCCTGAAAATCAGACCACAAATACACTGTAGTCCTGAACAACAGACCACAAATACACTGTAGTCCTGAACAACAGACCACAAATACACTGTAGTCCTGAACAACAGACCACAAATACACTGTAGCCCTCAACAACAGACCACAAATACACTGTAACCCTCAACAACAGACCACAAATACACTGTAGCCCTCAACAACAGACCACAAATACACTGTAGCCCTCAACAACAGACCACAAATACACTGTAGCCCTCAACAACAGACCACAAATACACTGTAGCCCTTAACAACAGACCACAAATACACTGTTGTCCTGAACAACAGACCACAAATACACTGTAGTCCTGAACAACAGACAACAAATACACTGTAGTCCTGAACAACAGACCACAAATACACTGTAGTCCTTAACAACAGACCACAAATACACTGTAGTCCTGAACAACAGACCACAAATACACTGTAGTCCTGAACAACAGACCACAAATACACTGTAGTCCTGAACAACAGACCACAAATACACTGTAGTCCTGAACAACAGACCACAAATACACTGTAGCCCTTAACATCAGACCACAAATACACTGTAGCCCTCAACATCAGACCACAAATACACTGTAACCCTTAACATCAGACCACAAATACACTGTAGTCCTGAACCACAGACCACAAATACACTGTAGTCCTTAACATCAGGCCACAAATACACTGTAGCCCTCAACAACAGACCACAAATACACTGTAGTCCTTAACATCAGACCACAAATACACTGTAGCCCTCAACATCAGACCACAAATACACTGTAGCCCTTAACAACAGACCACAAATACACTGTAGCCCTTAACAACAGACCACAAATACACTGTAGCCCTGAACAACAGACCACAAATACACTGTAGTCCTTAACAACAGACCACAAATACACTGTAGTCCTTAACAACAGACCACAAATACACTGTTGTCCTGAACAACAGACCACAAATACACTGTAGTCCTGAACAACAGACCACAAATACACTGTAGTCCTGAACAACAGACCACAAATACACTGTAGTCCTGAACAACAGACCACAAATACACTGTTGTCCTGAACAACAGACCACAAATACACTGTAGTCCTGAACAACAGACCACAAATACACTGTAGTCCTGAACAACAGACCACAAATACACTGTAGTCCTGAACAACAGACCACAAATACACTGTAGACCACAAATACACTGTAGTCCTGAACAACAGACCACAAATACACTGTAGTCCTGAACAACAGACCACAAATACACTGTAGTCCTTAACAACAGACCACAAATACACTGTAGTCCTGAACAACAGACAGCAAATACTCTGTCACTGAAAAAAAAAGAAAACAAAGCACACCCTAAATAATACACATGTTGTCATAGTATCTCTTCTCCAAACATCCGAACCACCAAACTAAACTTCTACCACAAGAGAAAGGTAGGGATGAATACAACACCATTTACATCACAATGAATATGAAATATATATATAACACAGGTCTAGTTACATCCCATCACATATTGTTGTCAGTAGTTTTTATATCAGGTGTAATAGACAGTATCATCTGTTTCCAGGCAATGGAAAACCCTCCAAAAAATCAGGCACTCAAAGGTCAAAAAGGTCAACCAATAAGTCAGCAAGATGGTGATGGAAATATTTTCAAATGCTGTGGACCTTTTCCTACAGGTATACACATAGACCAAGGGGGCCAAACACAACTACATGATTCCTTTCCTCAGAAATATTGAATAGTGTCAATAAGCAGACACTGTGGAATGATATCACAGTATTTTAACATTTCTCTATTGTTAGTGTAGATATACATATTTCTGTGTTAATCTCTATTGTTAGTGTAGATGTACATATTTTTGTGTTAATCTCTATTGTTAGTGTACATATTTTTGAAATGTAGATACATATTTTTGTGTTAATCTCTATTGTTAGTGTAGATGTACATATTTTTGTGGTAATCTCTATTGTTGGTGTAGATGTACATATTTTTATGGTAATCTCTATTGTTAGTGTAGATGTACATATTTTTGTGGTAATCTCTATTGTTAGTGTAGATATACATATTTTTGTGTTAATCTCTATTGTTAGTGTAGATGTACATATTTTTGTGTTAATCTCTATTGTTAGTGTAGATGTACATATTTTTGTGTTAATCTCTATTGTTAGTGTAGATATACATATTTTTGTGTTAATCTCTATTGTTAGTGTAGATGTACATATTTCTGTGTTAATCTCTATTGTTAGTGTAGATGTACATATTTTTGTGTTAATCTCTATTGTTAGTGTAGATGTACATATTTTTGTGGTAATCTGTATTATTAGTGTAGATGTACATATTTTTGTGTTATTTTTGCAGTAATCTCTATTGTTAGTGTAGATGTACATATTTTTGTGGTAATCTCTATTGTTAGTGTAGATATACATATTTTTGTGGTAATCTCTATTGTTAGTGTAGATGTACATATTTTTGTGGTTATCTCTATTGTTAGTGTAGATATACACATTTTTGTGTTAATCTCTATTGTTAGTGTAGATGTACATATTTTTGTGTTAATCTCTATTGTTAGTGTAGATGTACATATTTTTGTGGTAATCTTATTTTAGGGGTTTTCACTCTGAAAACATTTTGCTGAAATTAAGGCTGTGTTAACTAGAGTTTCTGTCTGCTACTTATGTATATATAGTAATTATTTTGTGCTAATTTGTCAAAAAATAAATATGTACTAATATTTGATTGCATCAAATTAAGTACATTTAGAGCAAGTAGAATTAAATATACCCAGTTGATAAACATATTCCCACATGATAACAAAGAACTAGACAGTTATTGTATCATTAAATGGAATTTGAGTCAGAGAAATTATGAAGAAAGTATGCAAACTGATATAATTGTAATGTTTTGTTGCTGGGATGATGGCGTCATCAAATGTCAGATCTTTTGTCTTAATACTAAGTTTCATTTGTAATTTGACAAATGATCATTGCTGCAAATTCAAGTATATTTATTTCGGGAATTGAACATCAAAATAAAATGGTCTAAATTATCACATTCATTTTCAGTAAAAGATTGAAGATATACAGAGAATGTGTTTTGATTTTACAGTGATAGAGAGAAAAATGTCCTATGCTTACAAACGATTTGAAGTGTTCCTTGTTGAAAAGTTGGAGAAGATGTTCTTAGGTATGTGATGGCTCATTTTAACAGTACATGTCTTCCATTCAGTTTCATAATCTCCCACGCTTCCTTTGGAAAGGAGATGTCAATTTGATTGAAATGTATTTGAAAATGCACAAACAAAACTTAATCTGTTTAAATATTCATGTCAATGTTATATGTCATAGCAAACGTATCATTAGCAAATGGTAGTAGTATATATATGGTCCTGTGAACAAACATTCAGTTACAAAAGTCTTACCTGTTTCTTATTTCCAGGTATGGCAGGTGTGATGTTACCTCAGATGGTAACAGTTAAGGACATATTGTATCCCGGTACAGAGATCCTTCGACAGAAGCAAGTGTACCACCCCTTGTGTACCTTTGATATTACTTGTGCAGATGGTTAGTTTAAAATTCTGCCACTTTGATTTTGATACAATTCATTGAAGTATAAATTGCAATCTGTCATTCAATTTTCTAGTGTTGATACTTATGTAATTAGTCATCAGATATGTCAAATATGAAGATGTTATTCAGGACCTATACATGTGCTCTGGTGTTATCTTACAGTGTGTCCACATATACCGAAAATCTGTTGTTACCCGGTAGTAAAGATATGATTGCTCTGCTTGTATTGAACATCTTCAGTCGTAAGGGGTTTAAGATTTGATCATTTATAGGAGAAAATGTTTGCTTTAACAGAAAGTACAGACCCCTGCAGATTCAGCCTGGTACACTTTGTGAATGGACAAGGCCTTACCTTGCCTGACAGTACCATAGGGCTCTTACAGGCACTGATACTGGGCATGTATATAATACTCATACACACACAGGTATGTCATCCTCATTCACACACAGGTATTTCATACTCATTCACACACAGGTATATCATACTCATACACACACAGGTATTTCATACTCATTCACACACAGGTATATCATACTCATACACACACAGGTATATCATACTCATTCACACACAGGTATGTCATACTCATTCACACACAGGTATGTCATACTCATACACACACAGGTATGTCATACTCATTCACACACAAGTACGTCATACTCATTCACACACAGGTATGTCATCCTCATACACATACAGGTATGTCATATTCACACACAGGTATGTCATCCTCATACACATACAGGTATGTCATACTCATTCACACACAGGTATGTCATACTCATTCACACACAGGTATTTCATACTCATTCACACACATGTATTTCATACTCATTCACACACAGGTAATTCATACTCATACACACACAGGTATATCATACTCATTCACACACAGGTATGTCATACTCATACACACACAGGTATATCATACTCATTCACACACAGGTATGTCATACTCATACACACACAGGTATATCATACTCATTCACACACAGGTATGTCATACTCATTCACACACAAGTATGTCATACTCATTCACACACAGGTATATCATACTCATTCACACACAGGTATGTCATACTCATACACACACAAGTATATCATACTCATTCACACACAGGTATTTCATACTCATTCACACACAGGTAATTCATACTCATTCACACACAGGTATGTCATACTCATTAACACACAGGTATATCATACTCATACACACACAGGTATATCGTACTCATTCACACACAGGTATGTCATACTCATTCACACACAGGTAATTCATACTCATTCACACACAGGTATGTCATACTCATTAACACACAGGTATATCATACTCATACACACACAGGTATATCATACTCATTCACACACAGGTATGTCATACTCATACACACACAAGTTTATCATACTCATTCACACACTGGTATATCATACTCATTCACACACAGGCATTTCATACTCATTCACACACAGGTATGTCATCCTCATTCACACACAGGTATTTCATACTCATTCACACACAGGTATATCATACTCATACACACACAGGTATATCATACTCATTCACACACAGGTATGTCATACTCATTCACACACAGGTATGTCATACTCATTCACACACAGGTAATTCATACTCATTCACACACAGGTATGTCATACTCATTCACACACAGGTATGTCATACTCATTAACACACAGGTATATCATACTCATACACACACAGGTATATCATACTCATTCACACACAGGTATGTCATACTCATTCACACACAGGTATGTCATACTCATTCACACACGGGTATGTCATACTCATTCACACACAGGTATGTCATACTCATTCACACACAGGTATGTCATCCTCATACACATACAGGTATGTCATACTCATTCACACACAGGTATGTCATACTCATTCACACACAGGTATGTCATCCTCATACACATACAGGTATGTCATACTCATTCACACACAGGTATGTCATACTCATTAACACACAGGTATATCATACTCATTCACACACAGGTATGTCATACTCATTCACACACAAGTATGTCCTACTCATTCACACACAAGTATGTCATACTCATTCACACACAGGTAATTCATACTCATTCACACACAGGTATGTCATACTCATTAACACACAGGTATATCATACTCATACACACACAGGTATATCATACTCATTCACACACAGGTATGTCATCCTCATACACACACAAGTATATCATACTCGTTCATTTCATCTTCAAACACACTCAGGTATTTTATCTTTATAATCTAACGATTATATCATGAAGTAAAATGTGGTTATGTATTTTGGTTACCTCCCTTTTATAGATGGACCTACCACAGTATGACCAACTGTTTCCTGAGTTAACATCTTCCTTGACTGACAAAAAATGCACAGAAGCTCAGGTGAGACAATTTGCATTTCAATCCTGTTGTTGAATCTATTGAAGCTTGGGGTTAGAGTCTATGGAAGCCAGGAGATAAAATCTATGGAAGCCAAGAGACACAATCTATGGAAGCCAAGAGATACAATCTATGGAAGCTTAGGAATAGCATCTGTGGAAGCCAAGAGATACAATCTATGGAAGCTTCATGATATATTCTATGGAAGCCAAGAGATAGAATATATGGAAGACAAGAGATAGAATCTGATGAAGCTTAGAAATGGATTGTATGTGTTCCTTCCCTTAGTTTTACTTATAATTTCCTGTAATTCAAAGAAGATTTGTTAAGCAGATATGTGTTGTAAAAAAAAACCATATGAGACTTGGATATTGGTTTGTCTCAAAAAACATTTCCTTACTATCAACAATTGGTTATGTTCAAACCCAAGTCCTCTCCTGTGACTTGTAAGCTTTACATATGTAAGTAGTATATATATATATATTCTAAAATAATGGTTATGTAATGTGTTTTCCGATTAGATAGTTTTCATGATCTAATTCCACATATAACCATGAATTCTGATGCCTAAATATGGTAGCCATCCTTCCGGTTCTGGTTCGGATGTTTGACATTGACTTCGGATAAATTGAAAATGCTAAAATGTGTCATCTATAGGTGAAGAATAAGACAACAATAATATTCATAATATTCTGATTCACTTTTCTTCGCTTTAAGTGAGCTTGCCGTTAATTTCAGAATGTCTTGAAAGACGCTGTGCCTAATCATTACAGTCAGTGATATTCTCAATCCAGGGATCAACTTCAGTTAATGATATTAGAAATGAAATCATATCACATTGTATTGCCTCCTACCTTTACTAGATAAATTCTATAGAGAATGATACATAAATTCTAATTGAAGGAAAGAACTGTATATACACAGCTTACAATATTTTTTCAGGTAAAAAAGGGCATGCTGGAAATTCTCAGGATGGCTGCTGTCAGCAAGGTGTTTACAATGTTTGACTCCTTTGACTGCACTGCCTTCCAGACACAAAACATTTTCACTACAGAAAAGATAGCTGATGAGGTCAGAAGTGTAAGTACAGAGCAGTATTCCAGATTATTACACCCTAAGATCAGCTGATGAGGTCAGAAGTGTAAGTACAGAGCAGTATTCCAGATTATTACACCCTAAGATCAGCTGATGAGGTCAGAAGTGTAAGTACAGAGCAGTATTCCAGATTATTACACCCTATGATCAGCTGATGAGGTCAGAAGTGTAAGTACAGAGCAGTATTCCAGATTATTACACCCTAAGATCAGCTGATGAGGTCAGAAGTGTAAGTACAGAGCAGTATTCCAGATTATTACACCCTAAGATCAGCTGATGAGGTCAGAAGTGTAAGTACAGAGCAGTATTCCAGATTATTACACCCTAAGATCAGCTGATGAGGTCAGAAGTGTAAGTACAGAGCAGTATTCCAGATTATTACACCCTAAGATCAGCTGATGAGGTCAGAAGTGTAAGTACAGAGCAGTATTCCAGATTATTACACCCTAAGATCAGCTGATGAGGTCAGACGTGTAAGTACAGAGCAGTATTCCAGATTATTACACCCTAAGATCAGCTGATGAGGTCAGAAGTGTAAGTACAGAGCAGTATTCCAGATTATTACACCCTAAGATCAGCTGATGAGGTCAGAAGTGTAAGTACAGAGCAGTATTCCAGATTATTACACCCTAAGATCAGCTGATGAGGTCAGAAGTGTAAGTACAGAGCAGTATTCCAGATTATTACACCCTAAGATCAGCTGATGAGGTCAGACGTGTAAGTACAGAGCAGTATTCCAGATTATTACACCCTAAGATCAAGAATACTTTAGATTTCTTTTACTATATACAGATTGAGACAGTTAAATTAAATCCTAGACATCTATGATATGTTGTAAACTCAGTTTATCTTTTTTTGTTCCACATCCATTTTACAACTCCTTTAAGTATCTCCTCGGACCATTCAAACACACTACACGCCTTATCACTCATGATCACCCACATGTTAGAACTGTTTGGATGCAGACTGAAATCCTTCACTGTGTTTTTATGATTTTACAGCTAATAATCATCTGTACTTTCAGGACCTCTTTAAAGTTGTAAAAAAGAATTTGAAAACATCAGGTCTTGGAGAAGTTGGATTTCTGGATCCTGACATAAAGGAATCTTGTTTCTCTGAGGGCTTTGCCTGTCCTGGACACAGTTCCTGCTGGAAAGAAGCAAGCAAGATCTCCGAGATTACTCCAAACTGGTTTGCTGGATATTCCAAATTCATCACCTCTTTTCAGTTAGGTGCCAATCAGCTGACCTCTTTGCCACCAGAGCTGTTCCAAAATATGCCTCAGCTCAAAGTCCTGAACCTCCATTCCAATTATCTAGATGCTTTGCCGGACACTATCGGACATTGTAAGAGTTTGATGGAACTTGTCCTGGGGGGAAACAATCTGTTTGACTTACCACCCACCTTAGATAGTTGCAAGGAGCTCAGAAGTCTGGATATCAGTTTGAACTGCATGGAGTTGCTGCCACCTATCATCACCAAGCTGTACAATTTGACACATCTGTACGCTCACGGACTCATGTTGACTAGCCTACCTGATAATTTTGGAAATCTCTCCAAACTGAACGTCCTCAACTTGAATGAGAATTGCCTCACAAAACTTCCAAAAAGTTTTTCAATGTTACAGAACCTAAGAGAACTCTATTTGGCTGGTATCAGTTGGATTCCCAACAAAATAAACAACTTCCTGTCAAAACAAAACTTTGAAGCAACAATAAGCTCTGTTGGAAGATGGCTGGACGGCAATGCAGACGTAAGTGTTATTGTAATAACAAGCTTATCAGACATCATCCCTGACAAGTATGCCTGATTCAGTGTTTGTTGTCCTTGATTTTCAGTTGATACTTTATACTATGAATGCTCACTGTAAATTGTATGGCTTAATAATTTGTGCTGTCGGATGTTGTAAATGATTGCATTTGTCAATGATTTGACTGTCTTGTCCTGTCTGATGTTGAAAATGATTGCATTTGTCAATGATTTGACTGTCTTGTCCTGTCTGATGTTGGAAATGATTGCATTTGTCAATGATTTGACTGTCTTGTCCTGTCTGATGTTGAAAATGATTGCATTTGTCAATGCATTTGATGTTGGAAATCTTGCATTTTTGTGTTGGAAATGATTGCATTTGTTGATTTGACTGTCTTGTCCTGTCTGATGTTGGAGTCCATTTGTCTGATTTGACTCTTGTCCTGTCTGATGTTGGAAATATTGCATTTGTCAGCTCCTGTCTGATGTTGAATGTCATTTGTCTTTTGTTTGGAATTTGTATCATGGGTCAGGGTCAGTGGGTCAGGTCAGTAGGTCAGGTTTCATTGATGTATTCTGACAATGTTAAAGGGATTATCCCCTTTAACACCTTTACAATTTTCTACATGCTGTTTATTTGAAGTGAAAAAGCTGCACTGTGTGTTGGTTGACTTGATGATGGAGAACAGGAGAAGAATGAAAACAGGATAAAAAAATTGATAGGAAGTTTCAGTCGATCAATTCAACTATTGTATTAATTTTATATTTTTCCTACTTACTTGTTTCAACCTTCAAATATACTGCAGATATTTGGTGACAATGACATGTTCCAATATTTTGACTTGGATGGGAGTGGCACACTCGATACTCAAGAAATATCGCGGGCAAATGCAATACTGTATGATATGTTCCCGAGGTTCGGATACAAAGGAAAAACTTCTCCAGGTAAACTGTTGATACAATGAGAGTAGTTCTGATAAAAGCCACCAACAAAATGATTTTTAAGTTGATGCAATTTTTTTATCTGCTTTTAATCTATTAATTTATCTTAAAATAGCTGTCCTAATGACAGTTACTCACTACACCATCAAAATAATTGGTCACTGAAGATTAATCTGGTGCTTTTCCCAACAACAACTAGCAGTTATCTATGTATATTTACAGTCTGTAAAGTTATAAACAATAGTTGGAATGTCATAACATCTTATATTTATAACACATGTGTAGAGATATAAACAAATTAATAAAAAAAAGATATCAATATTTTAAATCACATAATTAAAATTTCATTGATTATATTCTGGACATTTTAAAACTTTGATACATATTTAGATTATCATTGTTTAATTTCAAGTTTTTTAACATTTTTGTTTTAGATGATAAAACCTGGAATGGTTTTCCAGAAGAGATTTTTGCCTTGAAAAATCTGAGTATTCTTGACTTACAATATCAAGGAATAGTCCATGTTCCCAAGGGCATTCAAAATCTAGAGAATCTCACCACACTACAGCTCAATAGCAACCCTTATCTCTTGTCTATCGCAGCTGAAACTGGACAATGTCCACTTCAACGTAAGTAGCTAAAACTGGACAATGTCCACTTCCATTTAAGTAGTTAAAACTGGACAATGTCCTCTTCCATTTAAGTAGTTAAAACTGGACAATGTCCTCTTCCATTTAAGTAGTTAAAACTGGACAATGTCCTCTTCCATTTAAGTAGTTAAAACTGGACAATGTCCACTTCCATTTAAGTAGTTAAAACTGGACATTGTCCACTTCAACGTAAGTAGCTAAAACTGGACAATGTCCACTTCCATTTAAGTAGTTAAAACTGGACAATGTCCACTTCAACATAAGAAGCTAAAACTGGACAATATTCACTGCAACATAAGTAGCTAAAACTGGACAATGTCCTCTCCAATGTAAGTACCTTAAGCTGGACAACCTCCCTTTCATCATAAGTACCTAAAGCAGCACCTTGTCCACTTCAATATAACTAGGTAAAGCTGGACATTGTTTACTTCAATGTCAGTGAAGCTATCTGGTAAACTATAAATACGATATAAATTGATACAAACTTGGATACAAGGATAGAACCACTTCTATCACACACGCCATTACTATGGATACAGTTTGGTTGGTTCCGTTTATCCCGTGCTTGGATACTTCTCTAAGAATGACCAACTGATTCTTGTGAATCAACCTATCCTTAGCTTGTTGTGATTGATCGCCATTCTAACCGTGATTTTGATGTACTGAGGGATGGGCTTATTAATGAATGTACCTAACTGCATTTACATACCAGTATGTTTTCTGTCTGCTCTCCACTTTCAATTCCATTGACTTTCATGTAAGTGACAGGGGTGTGATTCTCCAATCAAATGTGAACAGATGATTGGATCACCTACCCAGTCACATGACTTCTCTATGGTAACCCCATGTTGCTGTTTTTCAATCTGGGCCAACAAGGGTGATATTAGATTGTTTTGCAATTGTTGTTAAATAAATACAGTTTAAAAGAAAAAGTCTAGAAACAATATGGTGATCTGTTGAATTCTCATAACCAGAATATTAATATACAAATACATTCTTAGACTACACATCATCATTGTCTCTGTTGATCAAAAAATCTGTTTTGAATCATTTTTTTTTTAATTTCTATAGATTTGAATATCAATGACTGCCCCTTGCTGAAAACCCCTCCAAAAGAGATCAGAGAACGAGGATTTACTACAACATATGCCTACCTCAAACGTCTGCTGACAGGATCTGTGGACTGTAAACGAACCAAACTGATGTTGGTGGGACTTGGTGGAGCTGGTAAAACCAGGTAGTTTATTCAAAGAGAAGATGGAAAGGATTTGTTTGCTTGTTTGTTTGCTGGGTTCTTGACTTGTAAACAGTCAGAGTGATTTTGAGGCAAGGGTTTCCTTGTAGTAACTGGTGGCTACCTAACTGAACAACATCACATGCCCTCCAGAGCTATTGGGGTAAAGGGATTTTCCCCACTATTTTGAATAACAGTACAGAATGGTCATGCTGTCTGATTCATGAGAACCACAAATCACCCATGGTAGCAATCTTATGCACACACCTGTAATCTCACCTAGGACTGACGTATCTGATGCTCTAACCATAGTGTTGTTGCCTCAAGTAGCAATAACATGGCAAAAGTTTTAAACAACTTCTAATTAGCCTGATTCCTAATAATTTGACCTGTATAAAGGTAAAATTTGTGTAATTGAATAATGTTGACTGGCCTTCTGGGTCACGGACACTGAGTGTGTATGAAACCAAATAATATTTTCTTAAGGTCTGTTAAATGTGGAGTTGTACCACTTGATTTGTATCTTGGTGGAATAAGATATTTGCTTACTTATTGTGAAATAATTTAACCTTGACCCTCTTTGAAGGTCGCAGGTAAGATGTGCTTGCAAACAGTATAAATTTTAACATCTGAGTGTCAATACAGGCCAATTAGGACATTTTACTTACATGAGTTAGTTTCTATTTGTATATATACATAAAACATTATGACTTGTGAGTCCCATTTAGAGTCTTGCTTTGAGAAAAATATTTTTGTTTCATTTCTAATTATATATATAAAAAAGTCATAAGATAAGATACAATTTAAAGGAATTGAAATGTGAAACTCTTTGGAAAAAGAGGAACATGTAAAGGTCACATGGCATATACCCTTAATTAAGTCCTCCAACTTCCACTAAGAAATAATTGATTTGTTTTAGGACCTCCTGAACATTGTTTTTGACACAAAAATTTCATGGATATAACCCGAAAATGTACCTGTGCAAATTGTGGTAAATCCCATTGCATAGGCTTTTATGACACTTGACATCCCTTGCAGCTTGGTGAAAGCCCTGTTGAAGACCTTCGGAGGTGAATCTCCCCTGACTGGGTCAGGATCAGTCACTGATGGTTAGTATATCTGTGCTCTCTATACTACAGGTTTTAATTTTTCAAACCAAACTTCATTTGAAAATTGGGTATCCTAGACTCAGAGATTAACAGTGTAATAATCAAATGTAATATTTTGTGATATTAGCTGATATTCGTAAAAGGATTATTTTTTGTTGCTATGGAGATATCAAATCAATAGAAATACACAGATGCCCTAAAAAAGAAGAACAATAGCATTCATGCCAGCATTCAGTATTATTATAGAGAAAAATACACATGTTTCAAAATACACATTCAGGGGCAACAAAGATGACATGACATATTTTGTTTAAATTTTGCAGGTATTGACATCTGTACTTGGGATGTGGATTACAAGGGAGAGACAATATCCTACAGTGTGTGGGACTTCGCTGGTCAGACTGTATACTACAACACACATCAGGTAATGGCCATCATGGATAAAACCTGGGGGACATCTCATAGGGTAATACAACACACATCAGGTTATGGTTAACAAGGCAAAAAACTTAGGGTACATCACATAGGGTAATATGTTATACCCAACAGGTAATGGCAGTCATGGATAAAACCTGGGGGACATCTCATAGGGTTATACAACACACACCAGGTAATAGCTGTTAAAAATGAAACAAAGAGGATATCTCACATGGTAATCTAATACAAACCAGGTAATGGCTGCCTGTGTTCAAACAAAGGGGATATCTCACAGGGTAATACAATACAAATTAGGTGAAGATTGTTAACTTTTGGCAGAGGGAATCTTACAATGCAATAATGCACACATGAAAATGGCTGTCAACGAATCATAGGCAAATACAGCACACATCAGATAAAAGTTGTCATGTGAAACAATTTTCATCAATTATTTTCAGTTTTTCCTTTCTGACCGAGCTGTGTACCTGCTGCTATGGAATATACGACTTGGACATGAACATGCTGGTTTGAACTTTTGGCTCAACTCAATCACAGTACATGCTCCTAAGGCCCCCATCTTTGTTGTGGGCACTCACATGGACCAGGTGAGTCATAGACACTGACTGTCATAGTACATGCTTTTAAGGCCCCCATCTTTGTTGTGGGCACCCTCACTGACCATCACAGGCTCTACATCTGAGGCCTGCACCTTTGTGGTGGACATCCACACTGACCATGTGAGTCATAGACATTGACTGTCATAGTACATGCTCCTAAGACCCCCATCTTTGTTGTGGGCACTCACACTGTCCATGTGAGTCATAGACACTGACTGTCATAGTACATGCTCTTAAGGCCCCCATCTTTGTTGTGGGCACCCACACTGACCATCACAGGCTCTACATCTGAGGCCTGCACCTTTGTGGTGGACATCCATACTGACCATGTGAGTCAAAGACACTGACTGCCATAGTACTTGCTCTTAAGGCCCCCATCTTTGTTGTGGGCACCCACACTGACTAGGTGAGTCATAGACACTGACCGGTATAGTACATGTTCCTAAGGCTTTCAGTCAAAAAAATGACATGGTCAAGAGGCTTTCATTTTGATTTTTGACAATTACGTTTTCAGAAAAGGCGTGAATATAATATTTGTATATGTTTATTGGTATAAATTTTTAAAATCAATAACAAGGGAGAGCATATAATTGCTGCTTTGTCTGTCCGTCAGTCATAATATTGTCCAGAGCATAACATTAAAACTTTAAAAGGAATCAACATAAAATTTCATAGGTAGATAGATCTCAACAAGGAAAAGAGTAGTGCACAAGAACCATAACTCTCTTTTGCATAATGTAGCAGTTGTTGCCCTTTGTTGTTTTTCATGCTTAAATTTTGTCCCATCCAGGGAACATAATCCGTCTCTGACAGTCAAAGTTATTGATTGTGAAGTCTTACCTTGGCTTACTTAGACTGTATAACACACACAAGACCTTTAATAAGCATTGAGTTGATAAAATTGCCTCATATTCTTATTCACAGATGACCAAAATTGCATTACCTATGGATGAAATGAGACAAAGCTATCACCAGATAGAAGGATTTCACTTTGTCAGTTCAAAGAATGGAAATGTAAGTAGTGAACTTGGTCATTAATTCCACACAGACATCATTAGACATGTTGTGTAGTAATTAACTTTTGTATGATATTTCTATCTACAGGGTATCCCCGACCTGAAAGAGGCATTATTTAAAGCAACCCTTCAACAAGATTACATGGGAGAGAAAATTCCTCAAGTTTGGCTTCAACTGGAGTCCAACATTGCAAGGTGTGGTTTCTCTCATAGCTTGCCCACATGGCAGGAGATACAAGAGAACTTTGGTTATGGTAGTGCATCTGTTATCTTCCTTCAGTTCTTTTTTATTCCTTTGAACAACTTCTTTTCGATAACAATAAGCCCCCTGGGTCATAATTTTGGGTTAATGAAGTGGATGAAGAGCATTCAAATTTGTTCAAATGAGTGATCTTGGCCCACTTTCAATGCCAAAGGGGTCAATTGTGTTAAACTTAAAGTCCAATGGATCATACCATTTTGCAGTCTGGATATTTAAAAAGTTTTATCATGTTTGTCCAAACAAATTATCTTGACCCACTTTCAAAGGTTTCAAATCTTCAAGCATCTTCTCCAAGATATTGGCAAGTAGTATGATTTGGTGAAGGGATGTCAAGTTTGTTCTAATGAATTTCCTTGATCCACTTAGTCATGTGGTTAAAATTTGTTGAAATCTTAAACAACTTCTTAACAATAACCTAGGTACTGATAATGGCTAGCAACATGCTGGGATGATGAACTTTCAGCTAACGACAAATTCTTGAGGTGACCTCATTTGAATAATCAGGAGTCTAAGAGACAAGATATTTTGCCATCAGCATGGTTGATGAAAACTTATATACTTATCATATATTTCAAACGAATGATCATGACCTGCATTCATGGTCACTGGGGTCAAATTGTTAAAATTTTTTTTTCAATGTCCTAGAAGTATAAGGTAAGATATCACACCAGAAAAAAGTTTTAATGAAGGGCTATAATGTTTGTATGGATACATACAAGTAACTACATCGGTAAAACATCCAAGCTTTAGGTACCTGTGGGACAGCTTATTTATAGAGACAACTATTATCAAGTTTGATGGTATAAACATGATATTAATACTGTGTTCTTTTTTGGACAGCAAAAGGGTAAATCAGTCAATCAATGTAATGGATTACAAGGACATTCAGGCTGAAGCTTTACAAGTTGGCATCATTAACAAAACTGAGGTTGGTATAAAAAGTTAGGTCCATTTATACATCCACCATCCTATTAGGAGTTGGACCACACTGTGTTACCTGTGCTTGTTATGTTTTGTCACGTCAAATCCAATTCCCTTCTGAATCAGCATCATATCTGAAGAACCTCCAAACAGATTTGGTTCATATTTACCCCATAGTATAAAAACATCAAGTTCTGCACCTTATATTACGGTGATTCATTGGTCAAGGGGTCATAGGTCACATATGACACTTCTGCATATTCATCAAGCAACGGTACATGCATGGGAGCCAGAGAATTCATTCCATCTCTTACAGGTATTTTCTTTGATGTAAAATAGACCAAACTGTAAGTTTAATTTAGACATTTATCCTGTTTTTAATTTATTACTGGCTTTGTTGAGATATAAAGAAATATCTAGAGTTGTAAAAGTGATTGAACTTTTAATTCTGCCCGCTGGTCTTGTTTTTTCTTTATTTTTTCAGCTGGCCAATGGTCATTGTAAGACTGACACAAGGTTTCCAAGAATGTTCCGAAAATAATATTATGCAAATTTATGATGATTATTTGAAAAACTATTGGAAATATAATATAAATCTAAATTTGTTCTGTTTGTTAGGTGACCCAAGCAATTCAATTTCTACATGACCTTGGAATGGTTCAGCATTTCCAGAATGAATATCTGAAAGATCGTGTTGTGATTAATCCACAGTGGATTGTCGATGTGATGGCTTGTGTTGTATCAGTGAAACAGACTGTAGTGAAGGTAATGCAACGACTTATTTTCACATCTGTAATTAATGTCTGGGTTAAATGGAGACCTGTGTCTTCGAAGTTTTTTTTTTTTTTTTAATGAAGTCTTTATTTCTAATTGATTGATTAGAATTAAGCTGTCATTCTCCAAGATTGTTGACAGGGAAAACAACTTTTTCTGGCTGCTTGTTAAGGAAGTCATCTGAATATGCCACAGTGAGCCAGATTTAAACAGGGATGATGGGGGCCATAGTCTCTCGCAGAGCTATGTGCGACAGTACATTGTTACCACCTTATATGTGTTTTGGTCTTTAAGCTGTTTCCGATCTTGTCACACTAATTTTGACCTAATTGTACTTAGGATTATAGTACAGCCAAACAAATTGATCTGTTCCTTACCATCTCATACACTACCTACATCAGTGCTAGGGCGCTCCACACTGGTCATTTGTGTGATGAAGTGATTGTATTCATCAAAATGTCACCCGCTAATCTTCTACTGGTTGCGTTGAGAAATGCTGTCTTAATGATGATGGAATATTTCTTCAATGCTGGCTATTTCTAATTTTAACAGTTTGCATGAGTTGTTTCCCTTTGAACATGTTTTTTGAATAATCATTATTGAAAATAGCCTTATATCTAATCTATTCAATCTAAATTACTGGAATTTTGAAAGAGACTTATATGTGCTTCCAGCCAGAGGTCCAATCCAATTGATGTATTTATCAACAAAATTTGTTGAAATTATAATTGATAACTGAATGTTTCACTCTTAGATTAAATTTCACCAGTTCAACATATTTAACAGGATGTGTTGTTGATATGGTTTTAAGGATGGCCAGTTAATGCATTCTGATATCTATGAAGTCTGGAAGGAATACAAAGACATGGCCAGTTGGCTGTTGAAACTCACGGAGGAGTTTGACCTCACCTATCCTCTAGAGGGGGAAAGCTGTAACATCGTACCTTGTCTTCTACCAGAAAAACAACCTGATGTAAGAATTTAATGTGATCTGGGATTTTTTTTCCATTGAAATTGACTGAAACATCTAATTGTTATGCTACTACATAATATCACTATGTCAGTCCTTTTAATAGCTAGCCAATTTTCAATTGTAAACTAGACCTGCTGAATTTTCTAATATCAGCTAGTAATTGAATTCATTGATGATCATGTGATATAACATGGAAAAGGGTAATTTTGTGAATATTGAATAACGTTATCAAATTTGATCAAATTCTTATGGAAAAAAATTGTGTTATTAACCACTTAAGTGACCACTCAAAATTACAAATTTTCTAACTTAATATGCAATATTCATCATGGAAGTTTTAGGATGATGTTATTAATTAAGTATGATGTCACTAGTTTAGGATGGTGTCGTTAATTGAGATGATATCATTAATTAGGATAATGTCCTTAATTAGGATGATGTCATTAATTTAAGACGATGCCATTAATTTAGGATGATGCCATTAGTTTAGGATGGTGTCATTAATTTAGGATGGTGTTGTTAATTACTATGATATCATTAATGAGGATGATACCATCAATTAAAATGATGTCATTAGTTTAGGATGGTGTCATTAATTAAGATGATGTCAATACTTGTGTTGATATTAATTCAGGATGGTGTCATTAATTAAGGAAATTGATGTCATTTATTTCAAGATGTCCTGATTAGAATGTTGTCGTTAATAACATTATGTTATTCTACTGTGGTTATAGTTTGAATGGCCTGAAGTAAAGAAGGGCAAAAGGAGACAAAAGATTCTGGAAACAAAGTTGGTTTACACATTTGACTACCTTCCAGCAGGCCTCTTCAATCGAGGACAGGTACAACAATAAACCTAACCTTGTAATGACTGAAATAGTAGTACAAAGTAATACAGAAATAGTCAAAGTATTTCACTAAATAGTACCAAACTGGCACAGGAAATAGTAGTACAAAGTAATACAGAAATAGTCAAAGTATTTCACTAAATAGTACCAAACTGGCACAGGAAATAGTAGTAAAAAGTAATACAGAAATAGTCAAAGTATTTCACTAAATAGTACCAAACTGGCACAGGAAATAGTAGTACAAAGTAATACAGAAATAGTCAAAGTATTTCACTAAATAGTACCAAACTGGCACAGGAAATAGTAGTACAAAGTAATACAGAAATAGTCAAAGTATTTCACTAAATAGTACCAAACTGGCACAGGAAATAGTAGTACAAAGTAATACAGAAATAGTCAAAGTATTTCACTAAATAGTACCAAACTGGCACAGGAAATAGTAGTACAAAGTAATACAGAAATAGTCAAAGTATTTCACTAAATAGTACCAAACTGGCACAGGAAATACTCTAACTTTATAGTAACAACACATTTAATTTTGTCAATGTAATTCAACAGCTCAATATTTGGCATGTAATCTTATGATGAACATATGAAATATTAAACAAATTTTAAGAAAACTGAATTATGGTCCTTTGTATGCATATCGAAATAGTCCAAGCTGCAATAGAAATTATTGTTCCTCTATTAACATACAATGTAGCTAAACTTTTAAGATCAATTCTCCACACTGGTATAACCATCCCCTGAAGGTTGTGTTCTGCTTGGTTCAGGTTAGGCTCTATGGTATCTCCGATCAGGATATTTTGATATGGAAGAGAGGCACATTCCTGAAGAAGAACGGACAGATTGCTTTGGTTCAACAGATTGGGTAAGCTTCTTTCCTCTATTTTAATGGTAATAGGTATTGCTGGTTGTCTAATTTCTAGTTAAATTTGAATCTGATTTTCAAAAAAAAATCAATGACTTTGTGATTCTTTTGCCAGCGATTCTGAGCTGAATGTGAAAGTCCAAGGCCCCCAACCAGACAATCTGCTCTTCCTCATATATGAGGTGTTTGAAGGCCTCATTAAGGAATCATTTCAGGGTGTCACTTATGAGTGTAAAATACCATGTCCAGATTGTGTTAAACAGGTTTGTAGACACTCAAGTCTCATCTATTTGTATTGAAAATAATCAGATTTCTTTCTTGATTCTGAGTGTATAAATACAACTATATAGAACTTTTATTTCAAATTTTTTATGTTAATCACTACTGATATATACTATTCTGTAAAATCATTCTTTTTTGTTGGGAATTTATTTCATCGATTTTGTTGGTATTTCGTACCCACAAACCGATTAAATGATAGACATGATACCAGGATGTATGTATGATAAATTTTCATTAAGTTTGTATTGATTTTGATTTTAATGAAATGTTAAAAGCATACTTCAACCATATTAATTTAATAAGTTATATATTCCTTTACAAATGTGAGTTATCTCCCCTCGTCTGATGCAGAATATGTGTTATGCTACGGTGCTAAATATGGAAATGACTTATGTAGGCATAACCTGTTGTGGGATCCTATTAACTTATGAAAAGTTAATAAAATCTGTTGAAAATGAATATACAGTTATAAATTTACTTTCAATTAAAGTACCAGAGAACTTGTTTATCCACAAAAGAAAAGTGCTAAAGTAATTATCTTTTGATCAACAACAAAATTTTAGTTAATTAATTGCTTTTAAACCCTTGATTTTGATTGCTACAAACAAATCACTTTGTTATTGTGGTTTTATTTTTACAGTTTACAAAATTTCCTCACATGTTCCCAGCATCTGTGGTCCGTCGAGCTGTGGAAGTGAAAGCACCTTTCCTGCAGTGTCACAAACATTTCCACTCCACACCTGTCCTTGATCTTCAAGGTACAGTACTTCAAATTACAAAAGGTTAAATGGTGACAAAGAGATTATATTGGTGTTTGTGTACTGCAGTGGTATCCTTTCACAAGGGCATGCAGTGTTTGATTGCCTGACTGGACATGAAAAGGTATGGAGTCATCTTCCAAATCATGTTTTCCTGGTGCACTTACTGTGGAAGAATGATCCCACACTTTCAACTAAAGGATCTTATTTATCAAATGATAATTTTGGTAAATCCTATCCCATATCAAACTGAAAGTGTGACATTGATATCATAACCTACTTGTCGCACAGCTTTTGAATCTGTCTGTATATGTTGGCGAAGAAATCAATAATTCTGTGAGCTGTGTTTAAGTTTGTGAAATTTGCTAATTAGATAGTACATGTTAAAAGATAGCCTTAAAGAAATATGAGTTATATATCAACTTTATTGATTTTACAACAATTGCAAAACAACCTTTAAGCTTATATCAATCACTCTTGTTGGCCTGGATGAAAGCATGGGAGGAGTCTTATTGTGGAAGGAACCAGATTACCCAGGGAAAACACACATCGTCGGGTAGGTGACCCCATACCTTTTCATGTTCAAGCCAGGAATCGAACCCCAGACATCTAGGTGAGAGGTGAGTGTGTTACCACTGCACCACCTGACCACCGTGTATGAGTTACACATAAATTGGTTAAAAAATCTTGAACTCATTTGTAGAAATTATTGTAACATTGATACTTAATATCTGCTTTTGTACTGGGATGTTACAGGAATTCTGGCCCCAGATGACAACGCTGACTATGATCTCCACATGTCTCAGGATCTTTTCTCCCTCCAGCAGATGCAGGAGGCCTTGACAGTTGGTGAGTTTTCATGGCTTATTTCTGTCACACATATCTTCAGGACACACACCTGTATGTGATAATTTCGGCTGGTAGCAAATGATCTATGCAAATAAAGAAATGCAAGTGTATATCATAATTGTTAAGATAAAGAAAGGGAAAAACACCAAAAGTCTATGGCAGAAACATTTTAGATCACCTGCCTGAAAGACACCTATTAGTACTGCCAAAAGGCAAGAGTTTGTATGTTGCAATGTCAGGATGTACTTTTCCAAAGTTAGCTTAACTTTCCTCATGAAATCATGGAGTTATGGCCGTTTGTTGATCTGACAGTATTCAAGGTGTACTTGTCAAACTGTGTAACCAAACATTGTTACTCTGTGTAGTTAAGTATTTCCTCTCAGGATGGCAGTATTGCTTATTAAAATCAAGCCTAATGCTTCTTTGTGTTTAAAAAAATTCAACCTTTTATTAATATCAGATACCAAAGTTTGTTAATAGATAGGGAAATGTAGTTGTTTATCCTGAAATTGGCAGTGCCATTGTCGGCAGTGACAGAAAATAGCTGTAGTTTAGCATGTGTGGTAATTCAACAGAATTCTTCTCTGGATTTACTCAAATATTATTTTTAGAAATGTAAATAGTTACATGTTGTAATGAACAAGTTGATTTATGAAAATTCATAAAATCGCTGTTATATCTGATGAAGTTTGGAATTATGTTTTTGCACGGAGCAATTAATTTGGCCTCCGTCATCAGGCAAAATTCAGTGTAACGTCAGTGTCAGGTAAACACAGATTGAACAACAAATCTGTTTGTTTCAAGAGTCTAATTTTCAATCAGTGTTGCAAGATAAATGGAATACATGGTCAGTGTCTTTAAATATAGGCTGCATTTTGGCTCGGAACAGAAAGACAAAAGTGACTTGCAAGAATACAGCTTATATCTTAAGACACTGACCATGTATTCTCTATGTGTAGGTAATGTTGGAGACATCTGTTTCATCATCACTTAATGTTAATATCTCCCCAGATATCTTCATTTCTTACTGCATTAAAGATGCGCCCAAGAATAGGTCAAAGGTTATACACCCGGCAGATGTCTGTGTTGACCTGGAGCAAGAGGGATATACTTGGTAAGTATATCTATATAGCAGTTCTATCAAAAATTTTTATCAACCGAAAAATCAAGAGGAAGCTGAACGCTTTTAATGTTTAGCCATTTTATACTGCATAAATGCACAGATCATTCTCAAATTAGTAGCAAGATCATTCCTGTTTGTTGATCATGCAGGTTTCATTTGATTTTAATTAGAAGGAAAAACAAAGCTGCTTGATATTTCTCTTTTCCTTTTCTGTCAAACACTTTTTTTAAATGGTCAGTAGTCGAATACATTCTTAAAGGATAATGACAAACTTTGTAGCGGAGTGAAGACTTCATTTCATATTACCACATGTTGTGTTTATTGTTGTCATGACATTGGAACGAAGTCTTTGACAGAAAGAACAGAAAGTTGTTAAGTTATGCAAGATATTATATTACACTTTATGTGTGAAGGTTTTTCTTTGATAGTTTTTGTGTCGCCAGCAGAGGTGGCAGACACTTAGGGATCACTTTGTCCATTTTCACGCATTGGTTTTCTGGACTTTTTTTGGTCATGCTTTGAGTAATCAAAATGAAATAAATTTAATACTTCTTGTTGGGAGGGTACAGATTAAATTTGATTTCCGGCTGTCTGTGACCCTTCATCTTTGAGTTATGCCCCTTTGAACTTCGAAAATTCTCTGGGAATATTGTTTTCTGGACTTTTTTGGGTTACCCTTTGAGTTATTGAAATGAAATTTGGTATATGGCTTCTTGTTGGAAGGTACAGAATAAGATTGATTTTTGGCTGTCTGTAACCCTTCTTGACAGAGTTATGCCCCTTTGAACTTAGAAAAGTCTCTTGGAATATTGTTTTCTGGACTTTCTTTGGTTATGCTTTGAGTTATAGAAATCAAAATTGGTATATGGCTTCTTGTTGGAAGGGTACACATTTTGATTATTGGCTGTCTGTGACCCTTCTTTGCAGAGTTATGCCCCTTTGAAAATTCTTCGAGAATGTGTTTTTTTGTACTTTTCTTGATTATGCTTGGAGTTTTTGAAATGGAACATGACAAATGGCTTCATGGTCGAACATTACAGATAAGGTTCGATTCATGGCTTTCTTGGCAGAGTTATGCCCCGTTGAATTTGGAAAATTTTCTTGGTTATGCTTCATGTTATCAAAATACAATTTTGTATGTTCTGTTGTAGTTATTTTCCAAAAGAGAAGCAGTCATAGAAATTAAATTTGGTATTACAACTTTATGGTTGAACATTGCACAGAGATGGCCAAGACAACTGTTTCTATTTCTGCATTAAAATTTTTTATGTGTTCATCAGAGAAGCAGCTCCTTTTGGTATTTGCTTCTAACAATTATGCAGCAAATGACATCTGCTCGGATGTGTATAAGTATGCTGTAAACACAATTAAGAAGCCCACCATCATTGTGGCGGTAGGGGAGAACTTTGACTGGAAGCAAAGCACCACTCTTGGGGTCTTCATGTCTGATGTGGTAAGTCAAACTAATTCTTATCGGCATTGTCAATTCCAATTTTATTTTGGCACAACTTTATGACATACTGTTGTGAAATTTAGAAGTAAATTTCACCATAAATGAAATTTATACAAAAATTATATGTTGTAGGTTTTTGTGAACATGATCAACTCCAAGAAGGATGTGTACAAAAATAAATTTGCGGAATTACTGAGCACGCTGCAGAAGAATGAACAGCTCAGTCTGGCAAAGCCAGAGGCATCCAACGCTTGCTTCATCAGTTACTCCTGGGTCAATTCTCAAACAGCAGTTTCTATGGGCTCAAAGTATGTCCATCTTTTTGTTCTAAATATCTTGTCATCGCTCTATATGTTTTTAGAGGAAGTAGGGTACCTTGTCTTAGGGTCTACTTACCACTAACATGTATTTGACCTCATTTCCATCATAAGTTCTATTATTAACTTGCTCATATGTTAACACTGTGAAAGAGTTGCTCTAATTTGCAATATTTTTGCAAACAAATGAAATTGTGAAATAAGGATTCTACAATGTGTGAAAATTGAGAGAACCGTGATCGGTATTATTGCATTTGTGAAAATAATGTCCTGTTTTCATTCGGCTTTTGATAAAACCACAATAATGTAAACTTTCTATAAATGACAACCTTTCATGATAGAAATCTTATAATGACAAAAAGTATTCCTACAGTTTACATGTAGATTATGTATAGAAATCTCTTCAGTTATACAGCAAGACAGAGACTGAAAAAACATAGGAAAAAAAATTATTGGTGTTTGAAAACTGTTTATCACAGGTTTATACCGGGTGCTGTGGGCAAAGGTGACCCAAGAAAAATCAAATCTTACCTTGACAGTCGGGGAATATGCTGCTGGTTAGACGTGGAGCAGGTCAATGTGGTCAGTATCATTTCAACAAATTATGTAAAGGCTGAAAGGTTCATTTGTCTGGTGTGGTGCATAGTGATGTCTAGTTTGATAATCACCTTTATATTCAATTTATATTTTATTTGGCCTGGCTCAGTGGGAATTGGTTCCTTAATCACATTTGTTGCTTGAAGGAAAGGATTACCTATTGAAAGGGCTGGATCAAAGAAGAGAGTAATTCAATATTTTTTAACCGAGAATGGATCTGATTTCTTTATAATAAAAGTTTCAAAGCTTCATGAAGCAAGACATTGAGTCTGAAATGCGGACATTTTTCACTATCTGATTTTAAGTAAGCGTACTTAAGTACTTTCTGTTGATAACTTACAAATGGTGAGGAAGACAGGTCCACTGAACCTCTTGTTTTGTTGGGAAGTATCTCAGGCGCTAATAATTTTACTAGCAGGAATTGTCACTTTTGATAGTAGTTTCTGGCAATTTAGAATCCTTAACTATGATATATTAATGGAAGGTAAACTAGTGGCGGTCACAGATATTGAAATCATTTGTTTTTGTTAGGTTTTTTTATTTGACTTTATGAATAAACAGTATTCACAAAATTCACGTGCACAGAACATCTATGTAAACTTTTAACTGTTGATAATGTCTTGGAAAAATGAATTGCTGAAATAAGATAACTCGCAAAGTAAAGGAAAATAAACCCCCACAAAAATTTATGATATTACATTATTTTGTAATGAGAGAATTTACCTGTCTGATGAAACCAATCTTATTCTATGTAGTTTTATTTTATCAATTAACTTACGTACATTGAAACTTTGTACATGTTTTGCTCATTTTAGTGATTGACAGTTTGTTAACATGAAACACAACGAAAAATGAAGCCCTGCAATCATATTGAAATTTGTTCTTCCCGAACAGAATGACCAGTTATTTGCGAGGATTGCCAAAGGTCTGTCAGAAGCCCGTGTGATGGTGGCCTGTGTATCAGACGAGTATGCTAAATCTGATACCTGTGTGAGGGAGATGAAATTTGCTACACAGCTCAATCTGCCTATTGTCATAGCTGTGGTTGGCACTGGGACTGGTTGGCTAAACACTGAGGTAGTTAGAACTGTTTACTGGGTTTATCTCCCCATGAACAGCCAGGGTAATTTTAATGCGGAGTCTTGTTGTAGTAGCTGTTGGGTACCTCACTAAACAACATACAGAAGACTGGTCACATGCTATCCAAAGCAATAAGGGTACAGTGTTTTGTCTAAGACAGAACCATGACAGCCCAAACTGTCCTGTTTACAAGTTCCATGAGTAACATGGACTGCCATTGTTAGGGAGCGTTAAACCACAAACCTCAGATCTCAGACATATTTCTGTTAGAGACAATACGTTACTATGATGCTTATAACAAAGTCATTTTGATTTGTACTTTGGATCCCTTTAGCAGAATTAAAGATCTCTTTATATTTTTTACTCATTTCAGAAGCCAGAGCTCAAGATTTGTCATTAATTCAGTTCCTGCAAGATGTGAATTGTTGTAGACATGAATATATCTTAGTAGATGCAAGATAAAATAGTTTGTTGAAATCAGATATCTGAGATAGAGACAATCCATAGATAGAAGTTGTTAGTAATTTTACTGTCACTTTTACCATTCTACCTTAAACATTACGACTTAAAAGATTTATTAAATGCTTAAAATATAGTAGTTTGTGATTTTTTTTTCTAGATTGGGCTTTTGGCTACTACCTATCCCAAAGTGAACTTTCAGAACAACCCCAATGAGGAAACAATGGAAACGTTATTTCGACTTGTCCAGGACAACATGAAACCTTTACCTAGTAAAGAAATGGACTCGGAGGTGAATAAGGACGAGACTGAGGAGAATTATCAGATATCTTACCAGGTACTGTTTTTTGTGGGACTTTGTTTGTGATGTATAAAGGGGTATCATGAGCTTTTGGACATTTAAGAATTGATGTCAAATTTCTTTTTTTTTTTATCTTTCTCTCTCTCTCTGAGCTATGAGATGAACAAAGTTTTGAGGATTAGAGTTTGAAGTTGCTGAGAATAAGAAAATAGCATTGTTATACTAATCTGCTCACAAGATTTACACAAGATTTGAAACAAAATATGTTATACAGGTATTTGTCATTTCATTGGTAACTTTAGAAGAGTAAATTGTATAGGACATTGCAGTGACTAGTAACATAAACATTTATACATAAAGATGTGAATAAGTTTGAACTGATGCAACATAGGTAATCAACCTTATCATATGCTAAAAATAGATTATCTTCTATACCCCTGGTGCTGAGGATGTAGGCTTATTAAAAAGATATTCAGAAAAGGGGGACAAGAGCCAGTGCCTTGCTTCTTCGCAGTGGTGTATTTGGTTAATCATGACCTTTAAGTATCCTGAGTGATTACGTATCATATAAACATACAAACAAGGAGGTGCAATCCGATATAATCAATTTTGTTTGCACCTTCTTGTTCAAATATGTTGTTACCATTTCTTCTGAATTACGATGATATAGATGGGTTTGTTGAAAGACCAAGGCTCCATTAAATATGCTAACTGATACATGTATGAGATATTTGGCTCTGTTGTCAAGTAGGGATTAGGGGTGTTTGCTCAATTTTATTTTTTTTCTCATTTCAGAAAATTATATGAATTGGCTCAGTCTTAATTTTTTTACTTATTTCAGGAAATGTATGAGTTGGCTCAACGGAAGTTATTAAGACAGGTTTCCAAACATGCTAGTACACATGATATTGGGAGCTACCCTCGACTGTTTGTGGTGGATATTGAAGAAACATCTTCAGGTGAGACATTGCGGACAGATCTATGGCTGAATCAGTCCAGATTGCTTTTCATGATCTCGCAGACCTTTCAATTTTTCTGAACTAAAGCTTTGTCTAAAATTTTGAAACGAGAGGTCCTCTTATCAGTTAATATGAAGATGGATATTTATGATGGTGTTTACATCCCAGAAATACAAAAAAAAAAAAAAAAATAGAAAATACTAGACCCACTCCTGTAAATGAATTTAAGATCATACCTAGAAATTGTTAACAGAGAAAACCCTTTGGTTATAAGTGTAAAATCTCATATCTGTTAGCTTGTACGCAGTTGAAATATTTAAAAAATAACATTGCCCATGAGTAAGTTTTAGTTTCCTTCCATTTCCAGATGTTGAGAGAACAGTACAGTATCATGTCCATACCCTGTGTGAATGTGATCAGGTAAGAAACAATAATCACTCAAGCTTATCAATACAGATTATCTGTCCATAAATTCATAACTACTTTGTGACCAATTCCACTAGGATTAAAACTACATGCTAGACAAATGCTCTGCCAATTAAGCTTGACTCATTAAGCTACCTTTTCACCAGCAATGGACCCACAGTCCAGTTCTGCTACATTCCTCCCTTGTTTCACCAGTGAAGATATAACTATATATAATGTCACATTTAGGGTCAATCCTAAGACTAAGTGTTGCTTGTTCTAAGACTAAGTGTTGCTTGTTCTAAGACTTAGTGTTGCCTGTTCTAAGACTTAGTGTTGCTTGTTCTAAGACTAAGTGTTGCCTGTTCTAAGACTTAGTGTTGCCTGTTCTAAGACTAAGTGTTGCTTGTTCTAAGACTAAGTGTTGCCTGTTCTGTGACTAAGTGTTGCCTGTTCTATTACTAAATATTGCCTGTTCTAAGACTTAGTGTTGCTTGTTCTAAGACTAAGTGTTGCTAGAGTTAAGACTTAGTGTTGCTTGTTCTAAGACTAAGTGTTGCTTGTTCTAAGACTAAGTGTTGCTTGTTCTAAGACTTAGTGTTGCCTGTTCTAAGACTTAGTGTTGCTTGTTCTAAGACTAAGTGTTGCCTGTTCTAAGACTTAGTGTTGCCTGTTCTAAGACTAAGTGTTGCTTGTTCTAAGACTAAGTGTTGCTAGAGTTAAGACTAAGTGTTGCTTGTTCTAAGACTAAGCGTTGCCTGTTCTAAGACTAAGTGTTGCCTGTTCTGTGACTAAGTGTTGCCTGTTCTATGACTAAGTGTTGCTTGTTCTAAGACTAAGCGTTGCCTGTTCTGTGACTAAGTGTTGCCTGTTCTATGACTAAGTGTTGCCTGTTCTATGACTAAATATTGCCTGTTCTAAGACTTAGTGTTGCTTGTTCTAAGACTAAGTGTTGCTAGAGATAAGACTAAGTGTTGCTTGTTCTAAGACTAAGTGTTGCTTGTTCTAAGACTAAGTGTTGCCTGTTCTAAGACATTGTGTTGCTTGTTCTAAGACTAAGTGTTGCCTGTTCTAAGACTTAGTATTGCCTGTTCTAAGACTTAGTGTTGCTTGTTCTAAGACTAAGTGTTGCTAGAGTTAAGACTAAGTGTTGCTTGTTCTAAGACTAAGTGTTGCTAGAGTTAAGATTAAGTGTTGCTTGTTCTAAGACTAAGCGTTGCCTGTTCTAAGACTTAGTGTTGCCTGTTCTAAGACTTAGTGTTGCTTGTTCTAAGACTAAGTGTTGCCTGTTCTAAGACTAAGTGTTGCTTGTTCTAAGACTTAGTGTTGCCTGTTCTAAGACTAAGTGTTGCCTGTTCTAAGACTAAAGTGTTGCCTGTTCTAAGACTAAGTGCTACCTGTTCTAAGACTAAATGTTGCCTGTTCTAAGACTTAGTGTTGCTTGTTCTAAGACTAAGTGTTGCTAGAGTTAAGACTAAGTGTTGCTTGTTCTAAGACTAAGTGTTGCCTGTTCTAAGACTAAGTGTTGCCTGTTCTAAGACTTAGTGTTGCCTGTTCTAAGACTAAGTGTTGCCTGTTCTAAGACTAAAGTGTTGCCTGCTCTAAGACTAAGTGCTACCTGTTCTAAGACTAAATGTTGCCTGTTCTAAGACTTAGTGTTGCTTGTTCTAAGACTAAGTGTTGCTAGAGTTAAGACTAAGTGTTGCTTGTTCTAAGACTAAGTGTTGCCTGTTCTATGACTAAGTGTTGCCTGTTCTAAGACTAAGTGTTGCTTGTTCTAAGACTAAGCGTTGCCTGTTCTAAGACTAAGTGTTGCCTGTTCTATGACTAAGTGTTGCTTGTTCTAAGTTTTAGTGTTGCTTGTTCTAAGACTAAGTGTTGCTTGTTCTAAGATTAAGTGTTGCCTGTTCTAAGACTTAGTGTTGCCTGTTCTAAGACTAAGTGTTGCTTGTTCTAAGACTTAAGTTTTGCCTGTTCTAAGACTAAGTGCTACCTGTTCTAAGACTAAGTGTTGCTTGTTCTAAGACAAAGTGTTACCTATCCATCTCATCCCTTTACATCTCATTCTGTTTCAAACCAATGTCGTCACTCTTTTGATCAAAGTTGATTCAAAGGGACAGTATTCCAATGTCCTGGTCAGTACATGATGTCATATTTACATAAAAATCATCGCTTGGTTTGCATTGGAACAATTCATTATTTCCTTTTAGATGTTGTTTTTCTTTTAGTGAAGGTTTTTGTTTGAACACATATCACTCATTTCACTGTTCTTTCTGCAGGGCTGGCACAGTGTGGCTGACCCTATAGTGTTAAGCACTGTTAAGGTAAGTCAGTATAGACTTTTCTGTTACAAAAAATTATCAGTGACCCTGAAATCTGTGTGAACTTTAATTATTCCTCTGAAAGGAGAAATGAGCCACTTATAATCATCAAAGCATGACTGTTATTGTATTTCAATTTTCAGAGAAGTCCAGATGTGGTTGATGAAGACTCATATAGGACTGATTTGGAAGATTTCACTCCCTACCTCTCTCGGGTTGCCGTAGTGATGGAGCACAACTCAGGCTTTGTCCTCAACCTTTTCACCAGTGCAGAAGGACAACGCTGTCTCAAGAGGATACAGGAGGTAAGACAATTCTCCTCTGTAATATGTCTTTAGGGAATAGTGTCACTTTCTTGTTCCAGTACTGGTGAGGCGTGTTTGATTTGTTCATCCGCCCTCTATTTCTGTAAATCTGTGAAAATGTTTTAATAAATGTTTAATCAAAAGAGACATACTGAACTCAGTGTCACATATACACATATTATACAGTGTAATACAAATGTGAAAAATAGGTCACTGTAACCTACTTTTTCTGTTTGATGTTAGATAGACTTCAGTTTAGAAAAACTTTAAGAATGAATGGAAATGGATGGATACCAGTTTGGCAATTCCTATAGTTAATTATACGAAGACCTTAGGCCATCTTCACATACATTGCTACCCATATCAGATTGAGGACTCTTGTAAGATTTATGGATTGAAATGCTGGGAGTGGGAGGAATAAAAAACACAGTGATGTTTTTTTGTACTCTTGGCTAAATAATTATCACTTCTAAAGACTGAAGTTGAAATGATTATCAAAAGCTGTCAAAGTAGGTCGCAAACACATGATTTTCCTTTTTCATATCATACTTTTAAAGGTTATTACTTGAAAACTTCCTCAAACCAGCTTTATAAGAAACCATGACTACCATCATAATGTACACATGGCAGATTATTTACCTTACAGACAGATAGCATGACAGGTCACATCACTTCAAATAGGCTTACATAGAACATTTACAACTTTGGTCAGCTTCTTCTAGACCAATAGTCTGCATTTAATCAAATACCTTCTAGACCAATAGTCTGCATTTAATCAAATACAATATTTCAGAAATTTGTTCAGTCTGGCTGTATGAATATATTCCATGTCTTTTTAAGCTCGCGATGATCTGCTCGGACAGTTTCCAGACCTCCTATCACAAATTTCGAGTCAAGGTTCATGAGTTGGACACAAAGGGAGAAAAAGGAAAACTGAACAGGTGAGAATGAGAACTGTGTGAATAAAATATCAACTCTTAGTGATGATTGTAAAGCTGAAGATGCTGTAAACACCTCAATGTTATATTTACTGCATGGAAAAGTTCTGTGTAAAATGACTCCAGCTTCTCTATCTGGGTAATGTAATTAACACATGGAAACAAGCCATTGTATTTATAATGACTGGCTCTTTGTTAGGCTGGCACTACAATAGAGGCTAAGGTCAATAACAGTTTTTAATTTCCATAAATTTACAGTAATAAATATTTTCTTCATCATTATGTTGTCAATTTTCAGGTAAATGTAATTGTTGTTTATAGATTTTTGTGTACAATTACAGCCTAATGTTCACAGAGATTACATACAGATGTATAAATATTTACTGTGTATTTGTGCTGTCTGATGATGGTCACAGACATATCAAAAGTGGTGCAATATACAAGGAAATGGGGAATGAGATTGGGGGGACAAGAATACTGATAGTAACTCTTATTCATGACGATGACCTTAACACTGGGTGTAAGTTAATACTTAAATCTTAGGAAGAATAGGGGGAAACTCTGATGCTCTGTTGTCGACAGGTCGATCGGAGAAAATTGATCATAAATGGACAAATCTGTTACTGGCGATGGCACATGTACATACCTCTCTTATGCAACACTGAAAATACATTGAATAGAATTTCAATTAGGATCTACATCTTCCAAAATTCTTTGAATCAATGTTTTGTAGATGTCGTCTGCCCAGTGGAAGGATAATTTGGCTGTGTGAAGAACATTCAGCCCTGATGAAGGTTACGGTTCTGAGTGAGGAAGTATCAGAGGTCAAGCATATGGTGGCCAACCAACCCTGGCTGGATGCCATGTTGGATTACATGAGGAATGGGGCTACAAAACATAATCCATTTGAGTTCAAAAACAACAGAAAAGCAAAAAGAAAATTGAAAGGTAAAATTTGCATTTTGTTCATAATTTGTATATAGTACTGCTTTTTTAAATGAAAAGAATTAAAAAAATTTTTTTTTTTTTTTTTGGCCATTTTCCGGATATATTTTTGTTGTTGTTTGTGTTGAATTAATCTGTGGTCAAATAATGGGTGTTTACCAGTAAATACTTATGGTTGCCACTGTTAATTTGATTTTCAAATGCATTTGGGTCGTAGGTGTCTAATTGTAAAAGGCCAACTTTAAAGTTCATTTGATAATGTCAATTTTCCTAAGTGTCAGATGTCTCTACACAATAGTAACACATCTCTCCCATTTCATTATACTGCTTTCTGCTTCCCTGATCATCCAATGAAGAGCTGGGTGTCGCACAAGGAGTAACGTTTTTTATGATTTTGATATGTCACATCCTTGGGATGTAAACCATAGCTGTCCTCACAAGAGAAATACTACCATACCTCAAAGGCCAATTGTTCAGGCAATGTAATAGCTGTAATCTTATTGTTGTGCAAAAAAAGCATTCAGGATTTGTTGTGACCAATAAGTATTAGAAATTGAGCTATAATTTGATAATATGAAATGATATGCTATTATTCCAGATATGATTGCTGGGGTTGATGATGTCGTGAGAAATATTAAAAAAACACTGTTACACAGAAACTCTTCATTGAACAAAGCAGCTCAACTCCAAGCTTTGTCAGAAATCAAATCCCAGGATCCAACATTTGGGGAGGAAACAACGGACTCTACAACCAGTAAGAAAAAGAAAGAAAAAAAGAAAGAAAAAAAGAAGAAACAGGACGATTCAAAAGAAGTGGAAGAATTTTCTAAGGCGTCAAATTCCCAGGATGCAACAGCAGAACAAGATGTTGATGACTCGATATCTGTGAAGAAAAAGAAGAAGAAAAAAAAGAGAAGTAATGAGTCTCCTGATGAGTATTCAGAGGAGGGAAAACACGATAAAGATGTAAACGATCAGATGACAATAGATGGACCTTCAAAATCTGTTAGTCCTGATCCAATACCATTGGTCAGCAGTCGGACAGCCACTCCACACCCCGAATCTGACCTTCAGGGCAAAAAAGCTACTTCTTCTCTACAGCCAGATGTTAGGGAGAGAGAAGCAGCTCCCTCTACACAGCCCAGAACACTGGACCAAGACAAGGGAGATAAAGGACAGGATTCTGATCAACAACCATCACCAGCCAAGAGTAAAACATGTGTAGTGTTGTAAAATACTGCTAGTACAATCAGCTAATGTATTTACTTCACCTGCAATACATTTTTGCAATAAACTTTCTATAATTATACAATTATGTATTATTGTAAATAACAATACACAATGTAATTAAATAGCTGTATTATAGTAAACAACAATATACAATACACGATGTAATTAAATAGCTGTATTATAGAAAACAACAATACACAATGTAATTAAATAGCTGTATTATAGTAAACAACAATATACAATTTAATTGTTTGATTACTGCTCAATCGTTACAAGTATTTTCGAGCTAATGTTGTTCCCCACATCATAAGAATTGGTGTTTTACCTCGGATTTTAAAGTTTAGGGGTAACTCCATGAAAGCCTTCTAAGGCCATAAGTATACAGTCCACAGCCCATCATTTGGTATATACAATCATTAGACAAAGGTCTAAGATGATGTTTGATGCTGATTGGTTTTTCTTCTTTGTGTTCTTTTCGTAAAACTTTTTTTCCAATGAATTTGATTGAACTCATATTTGTGGCAGCTGCAGGACCAGACCAAACGATTCTGACCATCCATTTACAGTTTTATTTTTGGTCATGTTCATGGTCATTGTTTTTTTAATATTTACTCAGATTTACATATTTTGATATTATGTGCAACATTCTGTGTTCACATTGGACCCGTTTTATCAGGGTATTTTTACTTCATTGATTTTTTTAGATTTCTCACAAGTGAGTACAATCACGAAATGTACCTAATAGATCTATTGATTAAATTTGAACGTTACAAGGTCAAAGATACACAGAGTAATAGGTTAATGAGGTTACAGGTTCAAAGGTTATAACCTTGATTGTGAGAAAATAATCATAAAAAAGATGTAATGCTCAGATTAATATATTTTCTTAACATATTTTTGAACTTTGTTGTTTATTTCTTTGTACATGTATTTTGGATATTTTTCATAAATGAAATATTTCAATTTTCGTTCAATTATCATTTTTTTGTGATAAAGTATTTCAAAATTAATGGTTTTCATTTCTATCTCCTTATGAGGTCTCTGATGTTGTAAATCATATGTTATTCCAACAAGTCTGACTTGTTCAGAATAATAATTGATACATTGAAAAGGAATTGCTCTATTTATAGAATATGATGTTCCACTAGGACTGTAGTCAAACTGTGTCATCACGTTTTTAATGTGACAGGTTGATGTGTTAGATAAAACAGTTCAAATTATTCAAAACACCATGTTATGTGTCTCTGAATACGTTTATTGTATGTTTGATACAGAAAAATCTGAATGTTGATATGTCTTGAGTTTATATTTGTAGTTTATATATCTTTTACTGTGATATGGAATCTTCGTTGATCTTCGTGTACAATATGATGTTATTTTTATCTAAGCTTTGATAGGAACACTTTTTAGGTCATCTGACCGAAGGGTCTGATGACCTATTGTGATCGCCTTTTGTCTGGCGTAGTCCGTCTTAAACATTTTCAACTTCTTCTCAAGTTCTACATGTCTCATTGAGCTGAAACTTACCTGAAATGATCGTGACATGATCCTGACCAAAGTTTGTTAATTTCGGGTTGGTCCGAAATCCAACATGGCTGCCATCTTGAAAACACATTTTCGACTTCTTCTCAAACATCATTGAGAGTTGGGAATCATTTCTCAAATTAAAAAAATTGATTTGACCCCTAGTTTATAGGAGTGACTTTGAGCATGGCCATGTTGAAGTGAACCACCCCCTGCCCCACCCTGAATTCCCCACCCACACGTTTTTTGTTATTTATGTGTTTATATGATTGAATCAGGGTGATTAGAAAAAAAACAAATTGGCATAAAAAAAATGAATTAAAAAGGAAATAGTGTTACGTTTCACTTTATCATGGCCATGAATCAGAACCAGAATTTATACAGAGCTACTGGATTGGAAGTTAGGTTTCCACTTCATCACCAAATAATGATTCTGCTGAAAGCTTTGTGTCTAGATAAAAAAAACTGTGTTTACCAGCTTCATGTTTGTAGCCATTCAGCTTATCGTTTTGTTAGCTGGTCAAATGTTTGACAAACATTGAAGAAGAAATCTTAATATAGATATCTGTGTGATAATGTTTGTGTAGGTGACATACTAAACAAGTCTAAATGTGTTATTGATTCTGTGTCATTTTCTGACAAGCATTCAACAATCTGATATTTCCTATTTTTATTGTTGTTTTTCTCTATAAAAGATGTAAATAAAATATAATATTTAAAGATTCTTACTCATCCTTTTTGGATGGATTCTATGTTTTTGTTATATTTTGTTTTGTTATTCACAGATAAAGTTTATGCTCACTTTGACTTTGTTTTGTTATCTTTGCAAATTCATTTAAATCATCTGGTTTTTCTGGGTTTTTTTTTTTTAACATTTTTAGAAAAAAATCATTCCTGGTAAATTGTTGAACAGTTTTATTTAAACTGTTGTTTATGATGTGACAGTATTCTGGTAAACACTTGAAAAAAAAATAATGTGAAGAAATGCAGTAGACCATTAGAATCAGCAAGAAAAATGATAATAGACAAAAAAAATCCTAGTATCCAATCACACAATGCACATCTATCAGAGACAAGACAAGAATCTTAGTGTGTACGCAAATGTAGCAGCCTACCATTTATAGGGACTGAGGCTGGTCTTGATCAGGGGACACAACTCCAGACTTCAATTTCTTAGTCATCATAAGAATGGTGTATAAATCAAATAAAAACATTGCATGCAGGTTATATAGCAAACCTTGGAGACTAAAAGTCCACTTGCAATCTCAAAGAATTGTAAGGTATACTACCATTCAAATAAAAGATGAAGTTATGTGTTTTCTCTTACTTCAATTTGTAAATGCTTCCTCAGATTCTGAGATTTCCTGTTAAGGTCATCAGACCTGAGGGATGAAGATGACCTATAGCCATCATGTTTTTTTCCATTGTTGTTCTCCATCCTCTATGTGCCTTGCCTAAATTTTCCATTCAAACGACTTCTTGATAATGGAAAGGACCAGGGTTCTTATATCGGGCCTGTAGCATGCTTAGATGAAAGGTTACAGAAGTTGTTATACTGAATGAACTTGACCCACTTTCAATTACACATGTCAAACTTGTTTAATCTTCAAACACATTTATCTCAATGACCAAATGGCCCAGGGTACTGATGTTGGGTCTGTAACATGCTGATATAAAGTGCTTCAAATTTTATTAAAATGAATGACCGTGATCCACTTTCAAGGTCACAGGGGTCAAATGTGTCATCAGACGACTGATATTGGGCATGTAGAACGCTTAGATGAAGGGCACAATTATTTTTTTCAAATGAATGACATTGAACCACTTTCAAGGTCACAGGAGACAAATGTGTTAATTTTTTTAAACAACTTCTCAATAACCAGTGAGGTAACATACTGGAATGAAAAGGTTACCAAATTTGTTAAAATGGATTACCTTGACCTACATACAAGGTCACAGTGGTCAAACGAGTTGAAACCTTTAAATGACTTACGGACAGCTATTGAAACTGGTTCTCTAACATAATTGGATGAAGGGTTACCAAATTTTATTGAAGTGATTGACATCTAGGTCACTGGAGTCAAATGTGTTGAGAACTTAATTGTTTTTGTTTTCTGTTTTCAACAAGCAAAAGATTCAGAGCCAAACAATTTGTGTAGTAGCATGCTTAAGGAATAGGATTTCAAGTTAACAGATATTGGCTGAATGAACCGACAAAGTCTTTTGTGTAAGCTGTTGAACAAGGGAGCAGCTCAGGCCCTTTGAGCCTCTATCATATATACATGTATATCTTTATAGTACAAGTAAGTTGAATGTTAAGCCCCATGGGCCTCTTGTCTATCGTACGATGTACTTATACCTCTATAATCATGATGTGGAATTTTGCAGTAGGCCTATTGCATTGACTAATGTTTGACTGTTGGCTCGGCTACAGCGTGATTTCACCACAGACTTATATACATGTTCCACTCTTAATATTACCAGCATGTCATTCAATCACACCACGCGACTGTAGCTACCGAAGCGTAAAGCACGAACAGGCAATCAAACAACACAGCACCTTGGCACGTGCAGAGACATTCACATAGTAATACACGTGCAAAATTTTAACACAACTCGATGAGTGGTATACTCTAATCAATGACATCGTTTTGATGCCAAAATAAATTCATTCAAGATGTCAGATCATTTGAATTTTGGACTAGGTTTTTTAATGTGAAATTTATTTTTCTTGATATATTAAAACCCTAGATTTATAGGAACTGGGTATGTCCGGCTTACAGCATTCATCGGCGACAAAAAGGACAGATAGTGAGTCTTGTTGAAGAATGAGTATTGTTTATATGGAATTTCTACTATGCATGAGAGATAAAACACCATTAAAGGACATTCTCAGTGTGTGGAAAATGTCATTAGTACTGTATACTACTACAAGCGCAGAGTTCGGCATAGTTATCGAGATACACATTACCAACGAGAGGACGTTTCAACCTTAGAGGGAAAATTCTATCCAGCCATTGCTGCAAATATTTCCGAATTCTTCAGGTTATAACTTGATCAATACATGCCCAATTTCGTTCATCAAGCACTCATTGAAAAGGTAATGTATGTATGTCTCCTAAAGTTGTGTATGTTACAAAGATCTACGGCCCCTCGTACACACACAGAAACACCCACCCATCACCACACACCCATCCATCATTACATACCATTACACACCAACACCACACACCATCACATACACACACCACACACACATCACCACACACACCCTCACACACACACACACACCACATACATCACCACACACACATACACACACGCCACACACATCACCACACACACCACCACACACACACACACACACACACACTACACACACATAACACAGACATCACCACACACGACACACACACATACACACACACACACCACACACACCACACATCACCCCCCCCCCCCCACACACACACACAAAC